GTGCCGCCCTTTTGAACTTCTCCGCAACGTAGAGCAAAATGCTCGTATTTCCTGTGTATTTCACGATTTTCTTCCTTTTTTCTCCACTGGCGGTCCACCTCCCACCCCTACATCACATTTGAGTAGAATTACCTCATCAGTTTAAGCTTGAATCTTGCCTTTAAGCAACCCCAATTTCCTACTGTGTCTTGAATAGTCATTGTCGTTTTACTTAGTATTTTTCCACTTTATTCTAACCGCAGTAGAATAATACAACCAGTAAAATCCTTGATTTATTTCTGTCTTGCCTATGTGGTATAGAAAACCGGTTTCATTCATATTGCAACCAATTAACCAATTAAGAATAGAATAAAGATGATCACAGACATGATACCTCTTTATGAGGATGTAAAGGTAGCAGTCGGCATATAAACTCGTCAAAAGCATATGTGAAAAAGATTTATTTCTGTGTAATAAGTTTTCGTTGAAGGCGGCTAATCAGACATTTAGATCGATAGTGAATGGCCTGAGAATGGCCTGTGAACAAGATGCTATACGTTTCGCATTTGGCTTGACTCCACTATACTCTAGAATTTTCTTGCATCACCAAACTGTTTGGAAGAAGGAGCACCTTGATTCAACGGGCGTTGGCCTTGGAAACTTCCATTATTCACTCCCCCTTGCGGGGAATTTCTCGACCATAACACCTTGTCCGATGCGAGGAGGCCCCATATTCTGGACACTCTGGCCGTTGTTGAGACCGTTGTTGTTCCGCTGGTCCCTGTGGTTGGTTAAGCCCTCCATTTTGTCCGTTCTGGGTGCCACCATTGTTCATGGGCATCTGCCCTCCTTGGTTAAAGCCTCCATTCTGACCATTCTGGAAGCCACCATTGTTCATGGGCATCTGCCCTCCTTGGTTAAAGCCTCCATTTTGACCATTCTGGCCATTCTGGAAGCCACCATTGTTCATGGGCATCTGCCCTCCTTGGTTGAAGCCTCCATTCTGACCATTCTGGAAAAGCACCATTGATCATGGGTACCCGTCCTCCTTCAAATCTATTGCCTCCGTTCTGTTGAGACTGTAGGTTCTGGAGACCGTTTCGTTGTTCTTGACGATTATCAGGAAATCCTCCATCTCGAGGAAATTGGATGCTATCCCAAAAACCTCCATTCTGTGTCCCACGCTCCATCTGAGAGTATTGCCCATTTTGTTGCATTGGAGGAATGAAGCTATTTGGTGCGTTTTGACCGCTGAAGAGGTCCTTCCTCGGTGATCCGGAGTTGTCCGCCATTCGTGGGAATTCTCCATTGGCTGTCTCCTGAAAGTGTTTGAGTAAAAAGAATACAATCCTAAATACATATCTCAAAGTGAAATAAGAACTAAGTAAGCAAATAGTATGGATAATTTGGGCAGATTTGCCATGAAACTGGTCAGAGCACTGTACTGAATCACATACAAGAGGCCTCAGGCAGAACCTGTTTTCCACCTACTATGGAATGATTCGAGTTTTTTTAACACCTTGACGACAGCGCGGCAACTATGAATGACCGCCATTTTTGTGAATCGTTGGACATTGTGGCAACTATGTATGCCACATCCATCACATCTATTTTTTGCGCACATGCCTTTATGTGGCTTACAAAATGGCTGAATCTCTAGTCTGGCAGAGGTTTTCCAAGCCTTACAAAAAATGTCTCTCCAGTTC